ACAGACTGGATTTCAGATCATGATTTCTGTTAAATGAAAAATTGATCGATTTTTGTTCTCCTGTCACTGATAGAACTAGTGTGTTAATACCAAGGTAGGAATTCTGGGTTTGGGGGTTTCTGATTGAATTGGAGGCAGAGTCAGTGCTTAGGCCAATGTCAAGTAGACTTTCCTTTAAATGGAGACGTGCTTTTGGTAGTAAATCACTTGTCTTTGTAAGCGCAGCAGTTTCGCTTGCCGTGGGTGTCTAAGCAGATAGAACAAGGCGCAGAAAGCTGCTGGGAAAAAGCATTTTGGTAGACCTGCAACTGTTAAGGGAGTTTAGCTTCTGCTTTAGCGTTATTATTTTGACTGATTAGAACTGTGTATGTCGTTGGTAGTGGCACCATGTTTGTGTCTCCTTGAGACAGGCATTTAAAACAAGATAGGAATGTCCTAGGGAGACAGTTCCCAGACTCCACAAATGCCCTCTGTATCTCAGCGTGCTGTGCAGAGAAGGGACAGAGAATTAAGCTTTTCTTGACTGATCTTCATCACTGCTGGTATTTTTCGGCTATAGAGAACAGATTGCCAAAATGATTGTGCCCAGCACGTTTGGTTATGCCACGTGAGAAGTTCTGAGCGTTATTTTTTCACTGCAGGAGCCTCATGTGGTAAGTGCTGGTGGGCAGAAGTGAAATAAAGGTATGTCTGTACTGCGGGCATAATTTGACTAAATAATGTGTCTGTCATCCTCTGTCTTAGCCTCTGATTTTGTCAGCTATGGTATGTTTGCAGAAACGGTGTAAACCTGAATGAAAGGGTGGCATTTGCCACAACTGCTGACTCTGTGAAGTTTAATCTCTGTGTGGTCAAAAAGACCTTTTCCGGAGGTGCAAAATGAAGGTTATGCAGAGATTTCAAGAGGTAGCTGTATTTTCTTTGATGTACTGCCTACCCTGCTGGTCATTCTTCTGTGGGATGGCTTGTTAATGAGCCGCTCATCCAAGAAGTTTGGAGGTCAAGAAGCGTATTTGACTTCTCCAGATAAGCAGCCTGAATGAAATGACATTAAAATGCATTAACGACCGGTTAAATATAAAATGCTGCAGAAGATTAAGTGCTGAATGATCTTGGGCCTGCTGATATTCCTCAGAGCTCTTATTCTAATGGCCTGCAATTAATAAAAGCAAATTCTTGTTGTTACTCCTGGGCTGTATCGCTTTAACAGACACCAGGCTGCCTGCTACTGCAGACACTCATTCATTTTTAACTCATTACACTGAGCCTTTCTGAAAAAAAGGCTGCCTCTTCTCCTAATTGCTTATCTAATTGTATCACTTACTAGAAAACAGGCTGCTGAAAAGACCTTGTTTCCTGAAACAAAACTGCAGCCTTAGCCGGTGAATGTGTCTCTCGCTGTTTACCGATGGCTCATTATATCTTACCTGACGCTGCCGAACAGGTTTTTACTGCTGTGAGGATCTGGAGGTGGAGCAGACCAGGGTTAAGGTGTGCTGCAGGGCTCCCACGGCCAGGGAGAACCGGGAGTCGGCCAGGGGGAACCGGGAGTCGTGTGGACAGTTCAGTTTTGGAGCGATCTGGGTCTGTGGAGAGGTGGTGAGCTTCCATTTCTAGAAGCCAAAGTCACTCGAGGGAACGGGAACGTGCAAGCTCTTCAAAAATAGTCTGGGTTGTTTATTCAAATTGTTCCCTTTCATACACAAATCTCCCTACTTAGCCTGATGGATACCTCCTCTGAAGATGCGCTGAGGTACTACACACAAGCCACAGTCTTTTATGTTTTCAGGCATTTTATTGAACTTGTGCTTCTAAAATGATCTGTGTAGCAATTACTGACAACATTCGGGTTGAGAAAAAGAGAAAGTTAAGCTCCAGTGTAGAATATATCAACGAGTCTTGATATAGATGCGAACGTTGAAGAGGCCTGAAGAGTGATGGGTTTGCTTATTTACCCCCAAAGGGTCTTAAATTTCCTCGTATTTTTCAGACTGTGTGTGTTAGTTCTCATGGTCCGACTCGCGGGCTGAGATGAGAATGAAAGCGAGCAGATTGGGCTCTGAAGTGCAGTGGAAGTAATCGCGTGATCCCTCAGCTGAGTTGTATTAATGGGCGGCAGCGGAGCCCTGGGAAGCAGCTTTAAACTGCCCCCAGTTTGTGCTGGGGCAGCGTCTGTGCTGTCTGGCGGCCCGAGCAGTCTAAAAAGCAGAGACCTGATGGCTGGTGACAACGGCCATGATGATTTGGGTGAGGATTTTAATGATATTGAGGTGCTTTTGCTTAGATAATAGAAAGTAACTAAAAACCGACAGTGTTTTGTGTCATGTACAAACCCACGGGGGTGTGATTTCCCGTTGTGCGGCGATGAACAGGATTCTGGCTGCTGGTCAGAGGATGGTCCTGCCATCCAGACCCTCTCTTTTGCTCCAGCAGCACCCAACAAGTAACTGGGGGGGGGACCCAGTTTGTGGGAGTTGTGCAGATGGGTTTCTCCCAGTGTTTTTCTTTTAGGCAGCGATGATTCCACTGCTTTTCACTCAATGTCTTGCAGGGGGTGGGCTGTGAGCTACACTTCACTGCCTGTAAAAATAAATCGGACTTTCTGCAGTGTCACCTACCCTGCAGTACCAAGTAAGTTACAGAAGTGGTTTGGGTAGTGGTAATGTGGAAGAGAACAAGAAGGAAATGGAAACCAAGTGCTAAAATGGATCTTAACTTCTTACTCTTCACCCAAGGTAAAAACAGGGAGGATGGGTGGTATAAAAGCAACTGCAGTGGTGGACCTGGAAATAGGTGCCAGGAAAACAAGGATCTAAGAGGATTCACTACTGCTGATGCCAAGTTGTTGCCAGTGCTGTGACTTGTTCAGCAGACCGCGGCTTCTCCAGCGTGTGGAAAGATGTCCTGGATGTAAATGTGAAGATTTTTTGCCGTGTTACTCTGTCCCTGCTGTTGATCCAAGTGTTCAACGACCTATTATGCTTTTAAACATTCAGAAACAAAAGCAAAGCTTTCTTTTGAAGTGCTTGTAAGGTTCTTTTGCTACGAGAGTTCTTACCCTCGTTTTGGAGGGTTATAAGAGCTCTGGTGAAAGGTTACAGTTCAACCCTGGCTATTGCTTTTCCGATGAAGTAGGAGATAGAGGTGGCATGTGCAGGCGAACAAAAGAAAACTTTACAGCCTCCTTCCTCTCCAGCCCGGTAAGAGCTGCTGTTGTGGGCTGGGGGGTGAGATTGCCTGCAGAGCTGTTTTCTCTACTTCCTAATTAACTTTCCTGTTTATACAGCTTTGAAATATTCAAGTGGGAGTTGAATATTCATGGTAGTGCTATAGAAATACAAAGGAAATGGCCGAATAATAGAACTTTTAAACCTTCAGTTTGGTTTTAAACCACAGGCTGCCCTGTCTGGTGTGCAGATAAGCTTAGTTGTAAAGTTTCGATCACGTTAAGCTTCAACCATATGAAATAAATGAATCTTTGACTCGGGTGACTTCAGCAAGTTGAAGCGGTGATTGCTGTCACTCGGGAGCTCTGGGGTGGACTCTGAACTTCGCTGCGGAGCTGCTTGTGCTGAGACATGTGACTTGGTTAATGTTACATGGCGTAACTTTTGGGTTAAAAGTTGTATCCAGCAAAGCTTCCCGAGAAGGATAGAACTGCTTAGACCTTTCCTAGTGCCGAGGGAGGAAGCCAGCCTTCATAAGAGCTAAGCAGAGCAGGACCAGACTTTTGTTCTATGGGGCACTTGTCGGTTCAGAGCTTGGTTTAATGTCTAAAGTAGATATTCTGTAAAGTCTGTTTTCCCCAGAGAGTTTTGCTTCGAGCACGTAGCTTCATCGTGAGATACAGAATGTCTTCAGGAGGCGATTCAAACCTCATGCTTTGCTTGGAGTTGTGTGACTTGGTTGACGGGAAACCCGTCCTTAGAACGTGACACATCTTGGCCGTGCGTGCTCCTCCTATCCTAAGTATTTTCCATCGGGCTCAGTCTCTTTTCAAACTGATCTCCGAGCTTCCAGACAAACCGTGCGAATCCTCACTATCGCCGTGCAACATCCTCACTGTAAAGCTTTCGGGCTGCTTTTTTCACACCTTAGGTGAGCAGAATGGTGGTTCTCTTGGTGGTTTCAAACTCGCTGTAAACTGCGTAGCAGTAAGTTTGG